ATGGATGACAGCAAGAAGCAGAGGGTGATCAATGAAAGAGGGAGGGAGATATATTCTTTCAGGCCATGCTCCTGTGACCCACATCCTCCATCTAGCAGACTAATCCACTGATGAGTATCACGCCCTGTGATCCAACTACTCCTCAAGAACCCCACCTATGAGTACATAAGGCTTTGCAGGGACATCTAGATACAAGCCATAACAGAAGTCTTATCGCCAGGGCTACAGAAAATTTCTAAACATTCTTTGTGCTCCAATTTGGATTGAAGGAGTTGTTACTCTGAAGACCAGGGTACCATAGAGACCCAGCATGGTCATATTTGAAAGTTATTCGAGATGATTTGAAATGTATGCTGTGGATTTTTATCTGTGTTCATTGCCATGGTTTAAACATGTCTTTTCCAAAATTCAGGCTTTCCTACATGATAGTATTAAGAGATGGCATCTTGAAGAGGTTCTTAGGGCATAAGACTCTTTGCTGGCTAATGGGATTAAATCCCTTATAAAAGAGGTTTCCCAAATACAGCTCACTTTTTTGTATATTTGTATATGCCCCATGTTCTGCCATGTGAAGATGTGTGTCAGATACCAGCCCCTCACTATGGAATTTCCAGCATCCAAAACTATGAGAAAATATATTTCTGTTCTTTATAAATTATCTAGTCTCAAGTATTCTGTTAGGATGGTACAAGGTAGATTAAGATAGCCATGGATTTCCAACATTAGAGTACATCAGAATCCCTCGGATGGCCTGATGCTTGGCCCTCCTACTGGGGATGCTGACTTGGTAGGTGTGGAGTAGCAGCTGGCAACCTTCATTTATATGAAGAACACTTGGAGAACTACTGTTTCACACCTCGTTTTATCATCTTCACCATAGTTTAGGTCTGTGCTGAAATTCCAGAATTCTGAGGTTCTAAAGACAAGTGTGAAGGGTAACTCTAGACCTGCCTTGTCCGATGCAAACATAATGTATCCTACATTTGAAGGGTTGAATTTCCTAGAATTCGCAATAAAAAAGTGAAACAGATAAGACTTATCCAAATAGTGTATTTAACCCACTGTATCCAAAATACTGTCATTTTAACATGTAGTCAGTGTAAAAATCACCGGTGCAATTTTTACATTCTTATGTTCATACTAAGCTCATTCTTAAGTTCATACATACATACTCCGTGTGTGTTCTGCACCTCAGCATGTCTCAGATTGTACTTGCCACATTGCTCAGTGCTCAGTTGGCCACGTGGGACCCCTATACTGGAAAGCACAGTGAGGGTTTCTCCTTCTGGAGACTCCTTTGCTCAAATTATGTTGCTTTTGGGCACTTGTACAACTTTATTTGATAAGTACAGTATACACCTTTGAAAACTTTACACCTTCAAGGCCATGAGTTATAACTTTCCTAAGTTGTTGTCCTAACTTATTTTATTATTACCAGTATTTTGAATACTTTACATAAGATCTATCCCTTTAGCATTTTTAAGTATACAACACAGTATCATAAGATATAGGTGCTATGCTGTGTAGTGTGTCTCTAGAACTTTTTTTATCTTGTAAAACTGAAACTCTGTACCTTTATTTTCACCCCATTTCCACCACCTTCCAAGCTCCTAACAACCACTGCTTCTGTGAATATGAATATTTCAGAATATAAGTGAGATCACACAGTATTTGTCTTCCTGTATTTGTTCTATTTCCACTTCTGGTTATAGAGCCAGCGGAATTGAAGTCAGTTTGTTTTTTTGATACCAGAGATCGAACTCAGGACCTTATGCTTGAGAGGCAGGCTGCAGAACCACTGAGCTAAATCCCTGCCCCTGAAGTCAGTATTTTGAAGAGATTTTTTGCAGTTGACACATGGAAACACCTAAATGTGCACAGACACATGAATAAATAGGTGACATGGACTTTTCTGTTTCACATTTCTCCTTGGCATGATGACATATGATATAGATGGCTCTAAGAATTTGGGAACTCCTAGTAAGTTAATTTGTAGCAAACTGTAAGCCCTAGAAATTATCCCTTTGGACACACTCATACAGTAAGCAGTCTTAAAACTGAATTTTAGAGAATAATTTGATTTGTGAGTAAAGGTTGAATAAGTAAATGTCTTAGACCAGTTGGGATGCATCTCTGACTTAGAGAACAGAGGCTGCTTAACTGAGTACCTTCAAAAGATGAGGACTGCTCCCTGGAGTGTTGGATCTCTGTCTAATTTCTCTGTGTCTGTCTCATAATTCCTCTCAAATTGGTTAAAAACAAATACTGTATTTAATTAGAGTAACTTTAAAAATCTATGAAATCACATGTTAAGATGTATGCAATATATGAACTGCACTGTCCTGAAATTTGAATTTTTTTTTTTTAATTTTATTGAGTTTATTGGTACATTTTAGGGATACAGTACAGTTACATTCATTGTTGGGATCATGTACCTCTACATGGCAAGTCTTGATTCTCATTTTTTCCCCTTACCTCTGCCCTCCCTTCACCCAAATTTGAATCTTTTTGAAGACTTTTACCCTGAATATGATCCTGCCCATTCATTACAGTCTCCAGTTTCAGTGTGAACTCAGTCAATACACTTTTGAAACCATTTGAAGTGACTAAAGGGTCTTGAGGAGTGATTACTTCAGAAAAATGAGCATTTCAGGAATCCACATTGTCCCTTCATCTCTGTTGGTGTTTGAAGTCTTCAAGGAGTTGCTGTGATCAGAGGAAAACATTTTTTGTGAAATAGTTTTCTTCGTGAACTTAGTGATTCGAGGCTGGCTGTTGGTTCACATCCTCTGTTCCAAAGCTTAATTTCTGTGTGCTTCAGCCTGGGGCTTGCAGGACATATCATCATTTTAGAATGCATAAATATAAAATTAACGTAGCTTTAATATAATAAGCTTCAAAGTCACTAAAAATGAAGTAGTTCTAAAAGAATGTTTAGAATGTTAGGTTTCCTGTCTAATTGTTTGTTAGTGACCCTATCTATGTAAAATGAGGGCTAAGAAAGATGGCTTTCAATTTTCTCATTGAATTAATAATGTGCTAGCAATTGCAACTAAGGATTTATCTCAAATGCTAAAGGTTTGACTTCAAAGGAAGTTGTATGATTAGAGGGCTAGCATTTATTGAGCACTTCCTATGTGCTTTGAACATACTGAATGATTTTCATGAATTTTCTCACTTTTTACACCATTCCTGTGAGTACTGTTAACACTATATTTGTTTCACACAGATGGAAACTGAGGTTTGAAGTAGTGATGTCATTTGGTTGTTTAGGTCACAGATGCAGAGCCAGGACAAAAACAGGCACGGATGCAGAGCCTATTCCTTCACCATCATGTTCCTTTTGAAATAGCATAGGATGCTCTGTCTCTACCCAGCAAGTAGGAAAAACTACAAGGTGAAAGTATAGAATAACAAGGAATTTTCATGAAGCCTCACTTCTAGATATTTTCCAGCTGCTGGAAGCAATAGTTGCTGGCCATATCCCCACTAAGAAGTCTAGAGAGAAGGCATTTGTAGATTAAAATTTTCATTTGTATCTGACTTACACTGCTATATAAGCAGAATATCAGATTATTAAAAAACAAACGGTACAATCTCACTGGGTCAGATTTATCATGCTTGGGAAAATCAATCAATATTTGGAGACATAGAAAAATAAAAGATTGGAAATCAGCTTTGTAAACCTGGCTTCTAACCTAACAAGCCATTTAATTTTTCCCCAGCTCTCTGTCATGACATTATGTAAGTGGATTTAATTAGAATTTTGTAGTATTCAACTCTTTTGGAGCCAGAGAGCTTGCCTTAGGAAAATGTATGTGCTCAATTTTGCTTTCCATTTAGGGGTTTCATGGACCCCCTAAAGTCTAGACTGAACTAATTAACTTATTGAATTTCTTTTTACTTTACAGAGGGCAAAATTCTTTAGCTATGTTATATTAAGATCCTTTGAAGATATAATCTGTTGTTATATGGATAGTGAACTTTTAGTGGATTAATGATGTTTAAATCGCTTTTGCCCAGTACCTTAGGATTGTAGTTTTGACTAGAAATTTAAAGAGCTGGCTGTGGAGTTAGACAGCAAACAGGTGCCTTAGATTTGTCAACGTACCACCAGCTAATTTTGAGATTCTCTTAACCTCCCTGGCCTGTTTCCCCTTTTGTGTAAAGACTGAAGAATGGCCATTTCTTGTGACTGTATAACTTTAAGGAAATGACAGATGATAATCCATGCAGATAAATTAACTGATAAATTGGACTGAGTCTGAGGAATTCTCATGACATTTTTTTACCTTTGCTTAAATACTCAAGTCATGTCTGGCATCCTAAAGCTTCTGAAGAGACTCTTTTTCCTTTGAGAAGTCAGAGAAACTTTAATGCCAATGGAAAAGTTTGTCTGGACTCTGGGAAGCTCTTCATGTATATATTAATTGGAAGCCACAGGACCTGGAGAGGCAACCAGAAAAAGGGAGATAAACTTGAAAATTACTATTGCTAAGAGAGTAAGATGGGATGAAAGTTAGGGTATTCTTTTGGCCTGTGTTCTCCCAAGGGTTGGATAAGTGATAAAGTAATGAAAGAACTCGAATTCATCTATCTAACATCTAATCAATGTTAGCATAAAACCCTATGAGAATATGTTAATTAAAAACATAAATGGCAAGCATTTAGGAATACTTACTCATTTGTTTGCTCTTTTCATGTTATAGCGGAGCACAAAAAGTTTTATGAGATGTATGAATCATTTTCACATTAGCAAGTCCAGTAGATTTCTATGGCTCTTGAAATTGTTGGGATGCCTTGTTCTCTAGTTCTGTTGTCTTCTCTTAAAGGACTTTGTCTGATGTCTGGAACAATTAAATTTGTTTTTCTCCTTTTGAAGCTTAATTTTAAATTTCTTTCTTATTAATGTAATCTATGCATATGTTGTCATTTATAAAACTCCAGTCTTTCTAATATGTAGTACATAATCTATTTTATTTTGCTTTTATTTATTTCAGATAGAAGAATTTCGAAGGCTGAGGACTCACGTTAAAGGGGCAGAACTTGTGGAAGGCTGTGATGGGATTTTGGGAGACAATTTCCGACCCACTCAGCCACTTAGTGACAGAGTCATTAGAGCTGCATTTCAGTAACCATGGAGAACAGGAATAAGCCCATCTGCACGGGGTATGTATAGATTAAGTAAAGGAAAGGAGGTACACACCTAAGTCAAACATCCCAATGCTACTCTGATCAAACTATTAATTTACCAAAACAAGTGTGCTTTGTTTTAATAAAGTTTATGACACATTCATAAATCCCACTAATCACAAGTCAGGTGGTTATTATAATTTTATACAGTTTTCTAAAACATCTGTGATTCTTACATTTTCCCACCAAAAAATTCAAAGTTTTGTTTTAATATTGGATTTCATAAGCAAAGGTACATGAATCAGAAAAATAAGGGTGTGTAAAGACCACTTTAGTACTTTATCATGTTGCCCCTTCAAGCTGCAGCAGTCACCTTCAGATGATTATGGAACACAAAGAAAGACGCTAGAAGAGTGTGTGAGCCTCCATGTTGAACCTCTTGTGTAATGCAGATCTCATTATCTTGTTTATAGGGATGTAGAGCTGATCTGATATGAATTTAAATACATGTCCTAGCAAAGTGCTTTTAATTTGATGGATGAAGTTGCACTTACTAATTATCTATATAGGCTACATTATTTTATTGATTGAAACATAATCTGTAGACTTCAATATATTGAATTCAATATATGTAGTTTTTAATTCTGGAAATGATAAAGATTATAAACATAGAAAAGATCAACTCTACAAAGATGGCTATGTACTTAGTTATTGCTTTTCCTTGTCAATTGTCTGAGCATGCACAGGGCCGTGCGCATTTCAGAAAAGCATTGCTTGCTGTAAGAAGATCGCATCTGTTGGAATGGTTCTGGGGAAGTGGGATAGAACTTGACTGTTGGATGGATTGTTGAGTGAATGGGCTCTCATAGTATGTGAGTGGTACTGTGGGCCATAGAGTTATAGATAGAAAACTCTGGCCTCTGTGAGATCATAGTCTTATGAACTATACCATAGACTTGGGAATTTTAAACATTGGTCATTTTGACCATGTGCGTCTCAAGCCAAACTCTTTTATCTTCTGAGTGTACTTTGCTTCCCCTTACTGCCAATACTGCCTTTTGCCTATTAAAATCCTAGCTATGCTAAGGCCCAGTTGAAATACTCTCTCAGCATGGATCCTCCAGTTGTCTCTTTATTCCATTTATTGCGTATTCTTTCTTCCACTTATCTATTTGTATATTTGTTATCTTCCTGTCATATTCCAAAGTTATGAAGGGTTAATGTCTTTTTATTTTACTATGAATTCACCATAGCAGTTGTCGTGGTGTATATGTCTTTAGGCAAATTAGAACTTTCTTAGAACTATGCAGATTATACATCAGCCAGTTGCATTCCCATTTTTCATTCTTATTTTCTTCATTAGCCAGTAGAGTTAATCTCCTTCTCTTTCTAATTTTGGGGATGATTAAGGTCAGCCAAATTCACCTTTCATAGAGATGAGAAGAAAGTTTCACTAATTCTTATGTCATTGAAAAGGGAAGCAATCCAAGAGTGCTGTAGGCTAAACCTTACAGCACATGAGCTAAAGATCTAAAATGATATCAATCAAAAGTTACTGTTGAACACCATTCTTGGTTTACAGACCTGAGAGTCTGAGGTGGTGAGCACTACAGTGGAAAAATAAACACTCAAAAACACACAATTGCAGATTGTAACAAATTTTATTAATGAGAACAAAGTAATGTTGGAAGGAGCTTCTAGACAGAAGGGATATCTTTGTGCAAAAGCCCTCAGGAACTGCTCCTTGTGGAGAGGTAAGAATTTTATGCTCTGAGATAATCTTAAAGAAAGCACCATTAATCTGTAATATAGAATTCAAAGGAGAGAAGTAGCAAGTCCCAGAAATTAGAAGGCTTTACCAACCACATTAAGGCATCTGTTTTGTTATTAATGCCTCATAAACCTATAAAGACTTTTACTAAAGGGAGTGCCCTGAGCTCAAGTGTAGTTTTTAATAGTTCATCCTAGCTGCATGATGAATGGATTGCATTACAGAGGTCTAGGAAAGGAGTCGGAAGATATTTAGTAGTCTGGTAGGTAGATAAGTGATAGCTACAGAGGGTCAGAACCAGTATAAGTGCAGGAGAAATGGAGGGAGGGTAATATATAGGAAATAGAAATTGCAGGTGGCACCAAGTGATAATTGGGAAAGGGTAGAAGAAATTGGAAATGCCCTCAAAGTTAACAGTTGGGGTCTGGGGCTTAAGAAACCATGGATACAACGCCTTCAAAAACCAAGGATAGGTCCTACTGGTGATAGAAAGATAAGGCTAAGATAGAAGACATGGAGAGAAAGAGGGAGAGATGCGGGGGCAGAGAAATATAGACACCTCATTCACTAAAGGGTCTGGGATGAAATATGAAAGTAGTGTATAGACTGAATTTGTATATGTGTGTATGTACATGAAAATGTATATGCATTTAACATTAGAATCATAGGATAACCTCATTCAGTTTTCATAAAATCTAACCTGAGACTTTTCATAAAATCTAACCAGGACACAGAGAAGGTCACTGCCCAAGTAATGTTGTTCCTGAGCAGTAAAGCTGGAAATCTTATCTCTGCTGCTGAAGTGGCAGAGCCCTTTCTCTTATTCACCGTGTGAGCAGAGGACATAGAAGGAGTCTACACTAGGAGTCCAGGCAGCACAGTATGAAGTTCACATTGCATTAGGTTGAAGGTGACTAGAAGGGAGTCTTTGGAGATATCATGTCTTGGCCACACATGATCATTTAATTGAGGGCTGCAGCCTGAGAGAGTGTGGGGTGGGGAGAAGCCTGTTTTGTTTTATTTTATTTTATATATTTTTTTAAATGAAAGGAATGCCAGAATTTGACTATATGCAGTTGGAAAAGAGCATGTAGCTGGGGTCAGACCATCCTTTGGAGGAGGTAATCTTACCAGTGTATTCTCAAAAATTTGAAAGGAATGAGATCCTGAGCACACATGGAAACCAACTTTGCTAAGAGCAGACACTTCCTATGCTGGAACAGGAAGGATGAAGGAAGTGGTGGCTTATAGATTGAGTGTTTTCATGACTGGCTTTTATTTTTCAATGAGAAAGGGGAGGAAGGGCCATAGGAGGGGGCTGGTAAGAGGACAACAGGGAGGTATGAAGAGGCTTGGTGAAAGTGACCTTGTGAATTTCCCAAGTCTATGGTTTGTATTCTCTCTGTGAGTATCATTAATTCCAAATAATTTTTAATGTTTAATCCATGTCTGGCCCTAGACCACAGTTGCCCCTCTCTACACAAATAACCATAAGTATTTTAATCTCACACATAAACACACAGACACACAGATACACACACAGTCAAACATACACACAGAGACTTAAATGTTTGAGATTATGTGTATATCGATACTTCATTACACACTAGAAAAAATATATACTTTAAAATGTACATATTTTTATAAGAAGATGGAATTATGTACTTCTCTTAGTGGCTGAGATTACTTATAGGGGATAACTCAAAATTTCAAAGAATGACTCAGGACTTCTTTCTAAGGTGACTCCAATTCTGATTTCATCCTTTTATGAATACACTTTTATCCTTTTATCTTGAGATGTGTAATACAAATTTAGTCATGGTTCTACATAAAAATTATATTGGGAAATCAGACTTATGGATGTGTGCTTTTTATTTGATATTTAATAATGCCCTAAGGCAGGTAATTCAAATTTTTATTAAAGTGAAGTGATTTGACAGCTAGACTTTGAATTTAATGCATGAATGTTTCATTTAAGCTCCTGGAACTAAAAAGGGAAAAAATATTTTCATGGTTTGTTGTTCTCTAAAAAATGTTTAAAATAACTCAGATTTATTTTAGCTATCTTTTACTGAAATAACTTTAGTTTTTGGACTTAAATGATAGCTTTTTTTGCATGACATGTCTGGATATCTGGAGAGCTTTGATAACCAAGATTTATTATTCTCATGAATAATCTGAGACTTTATATTATCATTTAAGAAGCATGAACTACGATTTTGCACTTGTTTGAAGAATTACTGCATAATTCACCGAGATGCTGGGAATGCTTTAGTTCAGCAGTGGTAGTTTAGATTTATTTGAGTCAATTGCTATAAGTGATCCTTTATTTATAGCATTTTGTAGGGTGCAGAAGAAACAAATCTTAACAATAACAAATAATAAGACCAAGCTTTAGTTTACATATTATTTTGGTGTCATAATATTGGTACTAATCTGAGGAACTAATTATTTCTCTATTTATTTCATTAAGTATTAGCCCATTTTTAAAGGTTATTCTGACTGTTCAAGAATATTTTCACCCATGACTCAAGTATCATTAGACTGTGTACGTGTTTACAGTAATTATAATAAATTATAATTTAATAAAATTCAAAAGTAAAAGTCAATGTAAAAATCGATGCCACAAAGCTCTTTAAATATTTTTCTTTTTCCCCTTTAAAATTGGAAAAATAAATTTTGCCTAAATAGATTAGGAGGAGGAAAACCCCCAAAAATCCAGAGGAAAGGAAGAAGGAAAATAAAAGGGGTTATTCAGCAAATGGCTCAGAATAGTCGCTTTGTTGAAATTGCTTTCATTTTCCTTTTGAGTCTTTGAAGTCAGCCTTGACTGTGTTGAACTTTTCCCTCCATTTACTTTTGCAATTAATATTACTTTTCCCCTTAGCTTTAGTAAAGCTGCAGCTAGCACCAATTTCATGAGTTTTCTTTTATAACCTAAAAGAGTTATAAGTTAAAAAAGAACAAGGCATTATGGGAAAGGAGGAGGCTGTGTGGAAAAAATGAGAATGTAACTCTGAATGACCAAATCTTAAATGCTATTATTCTTCGAGAATGAATGAAAAGCTCAGAGCCATATTTTCAGTCAGTAGAACCTGGATTTTCCTCACTGTAATCATTTAACATTGTGGACAGCACTAGGATGAGAATTGAAAGCTCTAAAGATATATCTATTTTTTATTTACTATATCATATAGAATTTCCACAGAATAGAATGGATTTCCTAAAGGGTCACAAAATACTTGCAGTAAAATGTGAAGACACC